AGAAAGGAGTAATTTGCTAGGAGGTGCCTAGACTGAAAGAGGTTCCATGGAAGATGAGAAAGAAGTTGGCCTCCCCAGACTGTTAGCTGCAGGGGAAAATTGCTGTATACAATGTTTTATCCTAAAAAGTAAGGCCTTGTTCTGAAGCAGCAATTGTTCACCATCACTAAGAGCTATCTGCTCCTGCACAAAGAAGACTTATGGCTCCATCCCTGCAGTTAGGGAAATACAGCCCAGTGCCCACCATGAGAAATTAAGAAAGGGATAATCAGTTGCTTTCATCTCAGTCAGGCAAGGAATTTTCCATGAAAAATCTAGACATAATTTACTCAAAATCTATGATGTCAAATTTTTCAGTAGGTTTTGTGTGTGTGGTGGTTTTTTTAAATATCCTGTACATGAAAAAAATTATAATCTCTTGATACAGACTATTGAGTGAACAGGTTACTAAGTGATACAGAACAATTTGGATGACTGGTAAAGAACATGTAAAGAACTTCACTTGTATTGGGTACCAAACCCAGCCTAGTAAACTACCATCTGCTGCACTTGTCTCCTCCATCGATACAGTCAGACATCACAGGTCACTGCCTGCACAACGGTAGCCAAACAACAGCTAAAAACGTCTGACAGGTTTTCAACGTCAGACCGCATGCTGAACAAATAGTAAAATTTACTCTCATCTTTTTACTGAGTATTGTCCTTCTTCATTCCTATGGAATAAGAACACCGACCACAAAAAAACATTCTGGGAAATATGTTATTCATTATTCGAGTTTACAAACTCACATTTATTTCAGGACCCCACTCAAGTATGAACATTTGCGCAGAGAAAGAAGATTTTCCATATGTTACAAAAGTAGCCCATGAAGAAGAGATCTAGAGTAGACCCTTCAATGGCTCTCGGAAAAAAAAAAACAAACCCACACACACAAAAAATCCAAACCCTCCATTTCTTAATATTTTTTCAAAGTAAATTCTGTGTATTTCAATAGTTAAATCCCATTTTTAACTACATCTTTCCTCAAAAGATACTTAAAACAAGTAATGACAGCACAAATAGAGAATAAAAATGGATTTGCCATAAAAGAGTTTTGTTAGACTCACTTTCCAGTCTTTGGCTATACCTATCTACATAGAAAGGATATGCAAACGGTTCTAATTTTCCAAGTAAAAACTCTGACAGAACAAGTCCAGACTTGACACTGCTGCTCACATCAAACAAAACTTTTATACTTTGGTGTTATTTCTTGCTAATGTGGTTCTTCACCTCATATATTTCAATAAACAAAGAATGTATGCCCATTCCCTCAATGATTTATTGCTAACCACTGCTCATCAGCAGGACTGAGCCACTATATGTATATTTACAGTAAATACTAATGCAGAAAAAAAGCCTTAGTTTTTCTACTCTATGGGTTACATGATGACCCTAGACATTGAATTAACAGTCTATTCCAACTGAAAGCATATACCCTGCCATGACTTTTGTCACTGTTTTGCTGTGTCATTGCACAGAAGTGTAAGCTTTAACTTAGAATGCACTGCTTCATACTGGCTAAATGACTCCAGTCCTTTAAACGCAACAGAAGAGATGCTACATTAATTTATCATCTTTTTCTCCCGCTGTTTGAAAAAAATCTGTTTAGAGTCAAAGCAGAACACATAAGTAAATGATAGTAAAAGAAAGCAAACATAAAAGATAAAGGCAACATATTACAAAAGAGAAATCCCCAATCTACATTGTTGTGGCAATCCCAACCACAAATGCAGGCTGGGCAACAAGTGGATTGAAAGGACTTGGAGGTGTTGGTTGATGAGACACTTGACATGGGGCAGCAATGTGTGCTGGCAGCCCAAAAAGCCAGCCATGTCCTGGGCTGCATCAAAACGAGCATCGCTAGAAGGTCAAGGGAGGTGATTCTGCTCCTCTACTCTGCTTTTGTAGGACCCCACCTGGAGTACTGTGTCCAGCTCTGGAGCCCCCAACACAAGAAGGACATAGACCTGTTGGAGCAGGTCCAGAGGAGAGTCACAAAAGCGATCAAAGGGTTTGAGCATCTCTCCTATGAGGATAGGCTGAGGGAATTGGGGTTGTTCAGCCTGGAGAAAAGAAGGTTCCAGGAAAACCTTATGGCAGCCTTCCAGTACCTGAAGGGGGCCTGCAGGAAAGTTGGGGAGGGAAGTGATCGGACAAAGTATGATGGTTTTGAACTAGAGCAGGGTAGATTTAGATTAGACATTAGGAAGAAATTCTTTTCTGGGAGGGTGGTGAGACACTGGAACAGGTTGCCCAGGAAAGTTGTGGCAGCCTCATCCCTGGAAGCACTCAAGGCCAGGCTGGATGGGGCTTTGAGCAACCTGGCCTAGTGGGAAGTGACCTTGCCCATGGCAGAGGGGTTGGAACTAGAGGATTTTTAAAGGTCCCTTCCAACTCAAACCATTCTATGATTCTATACTGCTTTTAGTTCCTGTAACTAGAACATAAGCACCTTAGAAGACAATATGGCACAAGCCTGATTGCCCAAATTTTAGCCACTGACTCAGCAGAGCTAGAAAGAATGCAAATAAAGAAATTAATAGACCTTTCAGGGAACCAGGTACTTTGCCATGACTGCTTCTTCCCACAGCCCCTGCTGGGCAAATAAAGCACTTACGAGCAGTAGCTGTCATGTTTAGTTTGGGACAACCAAAGTAAGTACAACTACGATACACACAGCTTACTAAACATGACAGTGAGCAAGCAGATGGAAGAGAGGAGCTAGATACAAACTGAAGCCTTCGATCTAAACAACTCTGAATTCAAAAGACAGAAAACATGTCAGCCTAGTTGCGTGTGTGTATCCTGCAAGATGCGGGTTGCATTAATAACGCAAAAGACGCTTACCTTGAACACTAACTCAGAAACAGTTTCTTAGACTAAGAAATAGACACCAGTTAAAGACATTGTTTGTTAATACAAAGTTGGGAAACTTTGCTACCAGCAGCTGAGATCCTGCAGCACTACCAGCAATGGCTGCACATACTGCTGTATCCCTCAACAAGTAGAACTGTTCGAATCGGGTGCAGAAAAATGATGTTACACAGCAGACGCAACATCATGCCTCTCCTCAGACTGACATCATCCCCACCTAAATGCATCTCTGCACTGTTGCCTCACCTGGTGTATAACGTAGATGCCGTAGTCCAGCTGCTGCCTCTGTAGGAAGGGGTGGAGGTGCTCCAGGAGGTAGAGCAAGTGTTTCTCTCTATTGCGGTGTGGGATGAGAATGGCCACGTGCTGCAATGCTGAGCACTCCATAGGGTGATATCGGCCCTTGGCTACCTGAGGGTTCTCCTTTTCCACTTCTTCTAGTGTAAGAGATGCTTTGAAGGTGAGTTTGATGGCACCTCCTGTAGAAGAAGTACAAGAGGCTTTCCTGAGTCGTTTCTGGTTGTGACTAGTCCAGTCACCTAATGAATCACTCTGTAACCAGCCTGAAATAGGTTCAAGCCCCAATTGGTTTCTCTGTCTTCTCAAGAGAATAAAGCTATAAGGAGATTATGTAGGCAGTGGAAGGGGAGGGCGCCAAGCATTTAGTTGCTTAAACTGATTATAGAGTGGTGATGATAAAAAAAAAATATACCCTACTGTATGAGGATTGGCCAGAAACGGCTGCCAGGGCAAAGCAGAGAGAGGGAAGTGGAAAAGGACATAGGACTGTGGCCATGAGAAGTCATCTCTACTTAAAAGCATGAACAAAAGCATCACAAACTATAAATTTGTAAGATAAAATATACCAAGGCTTTCTGTAGCCAAATGAAATTTCATCACTTCTCTTGCACTGAGCTATCATTCCAGTCCCTCTAGACTTACTGAGCAAACCCACGAAAGAGAACAACGCAGGCAACTGCGAGGGCTACAGCCACAGTGTGTTTAGTTAAAGCAAACACATCTTGGGTCAAGGGTGGAGGGGTGCAGCTAGACAGCAGCTTTCTGGACTATATCAGTGAAGAGGGAAGAATCTAGCATCCCAGTCAAATCCCTAATCAGGCTGACAAAATGGAAGATGACAATGACACAATACTGCTAAGCAGAAGCCTGGTGCTGCTAACAATACCAAGATCAAAAAAAAAAAAACCAACAAAAAATAGACTAATAAAAATGGCCAAACCAAGGAAAAAGTCACTTATTTGAACCTTCATCATTAGTAGTGCTAACCCCAATGCAGCTGTGAAGTCCTTCAATCGTCAAGATAGAGAGACAAAGTCCTGGCTGTGTCCACTCCCAGCCTCCAGCCCACCCCCAGCCTACCAGATTTTAGTGGGCCAGTGAAGAGAGAGACGAAGCCTCAACAGCACACTATCCAGCAGTAGCCAAGTCACCGATGTGGAACCAAAGCTGCTTTAGCCAGAAATGCAAAACATAGCACTACACGAGCTGCTATCCCAGCCAGACCCAGTCCAGGCAATCTGTGCCACAAGTTGCTTCCTCACCCAGAAGTGCTTACTGCAACTGGCTGCACTGTATTTGTTTCACAGGAAAAGTGTGGAACAGGAAAGCTAGGAAAAAAAAAAAGTCAGCAGTACCAAAGCAAATGTAGCTTATCAGAAAGGAGAGGAAAGCACCATCACTTACGCAGGTATGGAGACACAGTTGGGCAGGGACCCTGAAATGACTTCAACGTGGAAACTGCGGCAGTTGATTCCATCTTATCTTCCTTTTGACTGTCCTCCAGGCTAGTTACCTTTCTGAAATTCTCCAACATGCTCTTAGGTTTAGAAATCTCCTGTCTGGAGTTCACAAAGTAACTGAATGTGGCCCACAGCACCATCAAACACAAAGTAACAAGCACCAACACTTTGAATTTATAGAAGAGGTGAAAGACGTAGGAACTCAGGGCCATGGCTCTCCCTGATCTGCAAGTCGCTTCCTCTGCTCTGATGCTGAGGCAGGCCACTGCGCACACCTAGTGGGGATGAAGCCACAGGTCCCAAGACGAACGTCACAGTAAGGAAGAAAAGCTGGAGGTAGGGAGGGCTGACACACCTCCTGCAGTTTCACAATTCATGGAGCAATGGTGCTGTTTGCTCTTCGAATGTCATAAAATACAACTTAACCTAAACAACAACAACAAAAAAAGGCAAGTTAGTTTCTACTACTCTCCACTGCTGTACCTTCATATACTTCATGAAAACAGCTTATGTTATGTCAAAACATGAGAGGAACAGCAAGTATGAACTACTGGTCAGAAACTAAGACACTGAGCTTTACTCCAAGCTCATCCACAAACCAGCTGCATGACTTCAGGCAAGTTACTTTTCTGGTTTGTTCTCTACTCCCATTCTTTCCCTCTCAGATCAAAGCGCAACCACTACCTCATGTTAGGTCTGTGTAGAGTGCATGGCTTTACTACTTCTATTCCTACCAAAATTAACAACAGCTGCAAGGCAAGAAATTCCGCTGGCTATGAGTACAGTTAGCTCCCCCCACCAAAATGAAAACCACATGAATCTCTGCAGAATTAAACTGTTTTCTTCTGAAATAGGATATTACTGATGTTACATTGCTCCGCATGACCAAGTTTCAACCCTGTAACACTTGACCAGCATCAGAAATCATTCCTCCATCCTGCTATCTGTCAGTACCACCTTGCAGGAGAGGAGGCAAATCTTCCTGCTTTTCAACAGAAAGGTTCAGTTTTCCAGTGTTAGGCCTGTGAGGATCCAATCCTTTATTCTGTTTCCCACCCTCTTTCAAGAGTTCCATTTTCATACAGTCCTTCACTGTCATCATACTACAAAGTTGCCATGCTAACACTTTTGTCCGTTATTATAATCTCCTAGCAGAGAAAGAATGAAATTTTAATAAAGGAGAGGTCAGACATGGAAAACACACAAGAAAATTGCCACCTGTGACAAGAACAAGGACTGATGCTAAGTGAAGCAAACACAGTGATTAAAGACAATGCACACAAAACAGTCTGGATCAAAGATTAAAACCACAAAACTATAGAAGGCTATTTTATATCAGCTTTAAAAATATACATGAGACTCTGAAGAGATAACACAGGCAGAAGGAATACAGTAACACTACATTCCCACTAGTCTAGCTGAGGTGTTTTCTGGAAAAGTTTGCTGATTCGCAGGGACATATGTGGGAGTCAGACCAAGGGCTGACAAGATTAACAACTCGATGTACTGCCTGAGCTTCTCAGGGTTTGCTGGTAATGACCAGCTGCTGTCCCTCCTGGCAGGCACGACCCAGCGGGGCTAACCTGCTCCCTCCCTCCACGGGCAACACAGTGCTTCTCTAAGGTAACAACAGAAGAGTTCTCTGTGACCTTACTGCTAGCAGTGAAGGATCTCCACATCCACTTCAATCACAAAAAGAGAAGAGAGGGAGAAAGAGACTACAATGGGGAAGAGAATATTACTTACAAAAAAAAAAAAAAAAGGTTAAGAGGTTCTGGGGGAAAAGAAAACAAAACAAAACAAAAAAAGCCATGCACTCATACCAATAACTACAGTTTTTTGCAAGTTTCTTTTTTCCCATCTGGTCTTCAAGTACCCAAGGCCAGACTTGCCAGAACAAACAAGAAGGGAAGCCTGGGTTTCTCCTAGTCCTCCTGTCTCTGTCTCCTGGCTCTCAAGGGCTCACTTTTCAATTAATTCTTTCTGCTCTTAGATAAATTACACTGCAGATCACATGGGTGTCTGCCTCACTGTTTTTAAAGACAGAAAAATTAGATTAGTGCTCTCATTTACATCCTTTCTCCTGATTTCCCACATGGGAAATCATCCGAGTAGCCTGTAAGGTATTGACAGCATGATTCTCTAGTACTCTCCAAAGGAAACCTGAGAATGAACTAGTTTTTCTTCTGCTGCTATCCATTAGCTCTGCAGTCAGAACAGGAAAAAAAAAGATCACCGACAACACACTAACACCTAACAATCAACTGACCTACAAAAAAAGCTCATCTTAAAAGAAAAAGAAAAAAAAAAGAAGATGAACAAATCTAAGCTGCATGCTGATAGCACAAAATACTTTCTACTGTCAGCTTCTAATAAACAACTGGAAAGTAATTTTGGCAGTCAGCTAAACATTTCAGATACAGCTCGACAACTTGTTTCTGAAGGTAATTAATTTTACAATGCTAAGAGAACTTAAACAGTAGCCAGCTTCTGCACTATTCAAGAGAACAAATACAGACTTGAGACCCAAACGCAAACAAATCTCAGGCATCTGACAGAAGATCTTTGCACTTGCTCAGCACACTTCCCTGCTGTATGTACTTGCATATTAGGGTAAAATCATACTTGCATCACTTCTCTCTCGTACACAGCCAACACTAACAACAGAAGAACAAACCAAATACTCCTCTCTCCTGCATCATCAGAGCTGTTCAGTGAATTCTTACTACAAAATTAGCTGGCAGATACATCACATACCTCTAGAAGGGCACTGCTCTCAATGCCCACAGCTATTCCAACAAGCTATGTTTCTGCAAACACTCACCACAACCCTGGGAGAAGCAACATTCAGCCTCAGCATCACAGTATGTACCACCACCACTCTGGCAGGCACAATATTAAAAAAACATAATGTCTCAGAACCCCCTCAAGTATTTTGGGATGTACTCTCTGACAACCTGCTACAAACGCCAGATGATGCTAACCCTGAGCAGCAAGCAGGTGAGCCCATCTGTACCAGCTAAACTGGTAACCTAATCCTCTTTCTGGTACCTGTCCCACAATCTTTGTTACTTATAGCCCAGGGTATGATAACCGCTGATCAAGCGCTGAAGGGGGTACCGTCACCACTGTGAAACTAATTCTCACATCTCCCATCTTTCTGCAGTGCTCAGAAACTTTATCCTGAGCATTACGAACAAATTTGGACTGAAGCATAACTAGACGGAGAGATTACCAGCGATTAAGAGTCACATGGATACACCAAAGCCTGGATATCAATGCAAGAGCTGCAAAGATCTATGGCTCAGCATTACTTCCTAGTTACCTGTCATGAGCTGTCATACCAGGGAAAGGCTTTTGTGGGACAGAAGTGATTCTGAACCACAGCTTTTCAGCTCTGTTGCTGACAACTCTGATTCACAACTGCAGCGAATGAGAAAACAATAGTCCAAAAGGCTTTACTATCCCACCATATATCATCACAAAACCAATGGTGTTTCAAATAAAAGAGAAAATGCCCACCACCCGACCCAATTTATAGTCTGCAATAGTTGCATATAGGAAATCAGTGCTAAGCTATATGAATGACCTGTGAACAGTAAACACTATGGATACCATGGGTAATATTAGCCTGTAATTATTAAATCAAAGACCTTATAATTTGCTCAACTAAACTCTACTTGCAAGTTTCTATGGAATAATCTAAATTGTTGCCTTCTATAAACCTCTCAGTTACTGTGCAGTGTTCAGCAGGTGAATTGCTTCCCCCAAGGGAGGTAATATCCCCACAATAAACCCAGCATATCACTGCACAAATTACGTGCATGAGGACAGAATTTCCTTCTCCATCACCCAGTGCAAACATGTTTCAGATTAACCTGGGATTAAAAAGTTAAGATATTGAAGTTAACATGCACGGTATGACTATCAAGAGGCATTAGCTAAAAATTAATTTATTAAATTCATAGCCTTCCATTTGATCAGAATTGGACTGCATCCTTAAAAAAAATTAAGACATTTGCTTACATCTCATACACAAACTAGTGCAAATGGGCTGCCCCCCCAAGAAATTCTTTGTTTCCCACAAATAAAAACAAAAAATTAAAACTGAACTATCCATGGAAAAAGACATAATGAAACATCAGAAAGTAATCAGCAGCATTAGTCAGAAGAACAAGCTTCCAAAATACAAAAAAAAAAGAAATATCAGAAGGGCATGCAGATGTAAAATTGCTAAGGTGTAGGTATGTTAAATTATGAAGATAAATTCTGAACTTATTTCACGAGCCTTACCTTTCCCTCCTCCCCTCCTACTGAGGTGAAATTTCACACATACCAGTTTCCTTTCTCACGCTTGTGAGATTCCTTTATATGCAGATGTTACTAAAAGTTCGCAGTACTTGCCTCTGACAAATACTCAGACCGTACTACTGTCAGTGTCAATTATTTCCCATAAAACCACATGTCCACCGAGTTCTATGGCAGCAACAGAATGTTGCTGTTGCTTAAGATAAACTGGAGCACTTCCACAGAGCATGCAGAATCACAACAATTAGTCACTTTCATCTCATCACTACACACACATGAGGGCATAACTCATGTTTCATAATCTAACAGTTATGTATTTTAATGTTTTCTATGGAGAACATAGTATATGTTTCAAAATGTGAAATTTTGGGTATTTTAAATGTAAAAACACACACAAGTCAATTTACCCATCAAGTTACATTACATTACTACTTCATAGGTTAAAAGGTGTTAGTTTTTCCACCCCACCCCCCCCGAAACACAAGAATAGCAGATGCACAAAAGGGCTTGTCTGATTCTATCAAATTGTGAACAACTGTATATCCTTATGAATGAAGGTGACCAAAAAACATAGTGAAGAGCTGGTACTTCTATGACTCCCACCAAAGACGGGGAACTCGTTAAGAGGAAATGGAAATAAAAGACAAGCTAAAGTTTAAGCCTCAGTAAAAACTTGTTCTGTCAGAGAAACAAAAGGAAAAGTTGACCATTGCCTCTCTGGAGGGTGTTGCTTTACCATTTCACAACAAGGACTTCATTTGGAAAAGTGACCTTTCACCAGGAAGTTTACATACCTGGATTGCTACATCAGGCTGCTAACCCAGAGTCAAGAACACCATATTATGGGCTTGGTTATAGGGAGGAAAAAAAATAATAAAAAAAAATTGTTAGGCCCAGGGCCTGC